CAAACCACGCATAGGCTGCGCCCTATTTTCTTTCTCGCTATGGGTTGTCGTAATTGTTGCGCAAGCTGGGTCCGCACGCCCCGTTGAGCCATAAAGGAGGCGCGGGGTTTGCCTTCAACCATGCTCGGTTCTGAGCGGCTATAACGACTTGCCCTTAAGTGGCCGCTTGGGGCGTTCGTTATTCGACAGCTGGTATACTCTGTGATACTTTGCAAAAGTCGTTCGAGCTAATGGGCCACTGCGAAAGCGCATAGCGCGCTTTTTGTTCCTTGTGAACCAATTACGCAGAAGCCCGGCTGCTCTCTTATTTTCCTTTACTCTTTTTATCGTTTTTTTTTTCTTGACGTAGCCCACGAGGTTTCCCAATCAACGGGAAGCAAAGTCGTCAAAGTTTTTTGTATACAGTTGTTCCGCGTGATGCTTTCGTCAAAAGTGGCAGTCGAGTTATGCTTAAACTCCGTTTAAAGTGCACGATAACACATCTTGCTCCAGCGCGCGTAGATCAAACGCTTGTACGTTGTGTAAAATAATACCTGTCAGTAAAAAAAGAGACAGTACCGCTGACATATAGTTCGCTTCGTACTTTCTTTTTATATTTTTGCCATCTTTTTGTCGTCTATTTTTTTATATTGTAAAGATCATTGCATGTGTTCTTTTTTCTTCTGTTTTTGCAATACATATCGTTTTGAAAGCGATTATGTATCATCTCTTCACGATTAGTTTCATTGCAGCATCAACATCAGGAATTTATTGTTTACCTTTTTCGTGGCTATCTTATGACTAGAGATAGTGTGACATTTTCTTTACTTTGTTTCTTAGTACAATTTATCGAGAGCAAAGGAACAATATGACGCAGTTGCACAGTGCGCTATATCAGGACAGTGAGAAATGGTAATGAGGCACAACATCCTGCGAAACGCCACAATTCCATCGGCCCATGAGATTTATTTCTTATTCCAGATTTGAACTTTACTATACATCTATGAACGCACTGGCGAAAAGCTTCACTCTCGAAATATCAAGCTATCAGCCTCGGTAATAGAGTCGGGTTACCTCTAATAGATGCGTGTGAAGTTGCACTTGCTCATGCTTGAACCGGCTTCACTTTTAGTTTTTTCATGGAAGTTATAACCAAAATTTTATTTAAGGAGGTAATGTGTATTCATGACAGTTGTGCATGTCGCCCTCACCCGCGAAGGACTGTGACGTCGACATTTCAATGTCGTTAGCTCTTTACCATGCGATGACGTGGCACAATACACGGGTGTCTACCGATTCAGCTCCATCTGAATGCGACCGCCATGGCCGGTATCGAACCCTTGACCTTCTGGTCAACAGCTGAGCGCCCTGTAACCACTGATCCAGCCAGACGGGCCGGTAAACGTACAGACGGCTGCACTGTTACAATGTATATCTAGATCTCGTTCTTCAGCCGAAGTGCAGTAGCTTAGATAACTGGTGGTTGACAATTTCAACTACGTTTTGGCAGACTAGAGGTGTGCACGAACAATGTTTCTACATTCACTTTCATTTAGAAGGCCATCAATATTAAAGGTGCTCATCAACGTGTTCCTTTTAATAGTGTACCATACTGTACATCAGAACGAGGGTAAACACAAGTGAACGTAGGCGAATTATAATGCATACCAGTAGGAGCATAAGCAAGGGCCGATAAGTGTAGGGGTGGGCATGGCATGTTGGCGATATAAGCCCAAAAGAACACTGCTCGAAAGAGGTGAGTACTTCTAATTATTCTGACGACCTCTCACTAAAAACCACCGGCAATACTTCGTTCCCATCGAAGAAGTTGTGTTTCTCAGGTTATTGGCTGTTATTTTTACCAATGTCCTACAACCTAATTTCAAATTAACCGTATTGAGTACTGTGTTCCCACGGCTGTACTAATTGTAACGCCACAATCGAATGTTCTGTACCTAGAAGCTGGCGTGTGGTGATTTTTTGGGGCAGGTCCGGTGCCCCGTGAATTAGCCGAGCAGGTTGAGCAGGTATTCCGCATTCCGCGCTTATCGACCGGCATCCCCGTGTGAGACGCGCGGGCTGCATACAAAAGAGGTCGAAGCGTTTTACGCCGCGTTTTCCTCCCCGCGCCAGCCTCGGCGGCAAAGTGACCTCATTACGTTGCGCAAATAGACCACCGTGTCATTTGCGTTTATTTGATCGCTTGTTCATTACGTAACGCCTTACCGAGGCTATTTTTAAAGTGCAGCTCAAGTGAGGGAGTTTACCTTTTTTTTTTTTTTGCACAAAACCGCGTAAGTTTTACGTCCACGTCGCGAGCGAGCGGTACCATCTTCATGGATGTTGTTGCGACTGGATGCGGCCTTCGTCGCTGGTTCGACGTAAATCGCAGACGGGTGGACACCCCCTCCACACGGTGGCTCAAAATCTTATATCTTCTGTAGTCTTTTTCTTCTGTATTTTCTTTTTTAAAACGCCTATTCCGTGTGGCTTTGAGCCTTACTTCGTCGTGACCAGCAGATGATGGCGAGACCTTTGTTTTCCTAACAAGATAACAGCCACTTTATTTCCTCGCTCCTGTTCTCTCTTGTCACGGAACTACATAATAGGGGGCATACACTAAATATATACGTATACTCGATTCTGCGCTGTGCTCCATTTTTTTCTGGCACCCCGTACATTGGGAAAAGACAGCATTCAAGTGTGACTACATGAACTCAGTGCCTGCCTTGCGAAGTGTTCTGCGCGTCAGATTTCTGAAAATTTTTTTTTTGCCCGTTCCTCATTATAGTGGTTGTCCCTCGGGCAGCTGCACGAACCATGGTTGTCCAAAACGAGTTGACAGCTTGGCCTAAAGCATAAACCAATCAAGAAGGCGGAGGACAAGAGACAAAAGTGACACCCACTATGAAAGTTGTTGTGTGTATCATTTCTCTCTCTTCTCTGTCATCTTCTTCGACTAGTTTATGCTTTAGCATCACGTTCCAATCGAACCAGACTTCGATTTCTTTGCAATCACTTGGCTTCTCGGTAGTTCTGCTTGAGCATATTATGGTTACGAAACTATTCGTAATGACCGTGCTATATTAGGCTTTGCTTCGCTTTGTGTGTTCTATATCACGCTAACAACTTTATCGGAAGTCCTTCAGGCGCACTGCCAAGAAAAAAAAATTGCTGGATTGACTACATAGTTAGTAATGGCTGTTCAGTCCTTGATGAACTCAGTGGCTCAGAGCATAGTTATAAAGATGCCTGAAACATCGTTGCTTATTTCTTCAGGACTATTCAAGGGACACGACAAATTATGCGCTCACGTAGAGAAGACCTCCCTTTGTGTAGGCTGCTTGCATCTTCCTTTTAATTCCACGTTGAACATCGAGAATATTCACACAAAACATTTTTCGAAGTCGATTTGCGTTCTTTTTTCATTTTATATACGTAAACTTAGATGATGCCACTGCATAGAAACGCTATACAATGTTAGCGTCGTTTTCATAGCAATACAAGTTGCAGTGATGTCAAGATTCGTTGATGTTCTCAAATTCGTCACGACAGATGCGCTAATATTTTCGCTCAGAGATGATAATGTTAGGCGCCCGTACACTGGAGATAATCAAACTTGTGTTAAACTTCAGAACGCAGGCTCGATTGCCATCCACGGCGGCCGCGTTTCGATTGGGAGAAACGCAAAGACACCCGAGTACACAGATTTAGGCGCACGTTAAAAAAACACTAGCTCAGCCCGGAGTTCTCCACCACGGCGCACTTTATAACGATATCGTGGTTTTGAAACGCACAGTTCCCATATACTTTGGTTCGTTTTAATTTAAGCTGTCTATATAAGCCCTGCGATGAACTGGACAAACATTGAAAAGAAATGCATTTTCTTAAGCGATAACGGTGGCCAAACTTGGCATAATTTAGGTTGACAGTGTTATGCATCATGTCTTCCAAGAGGGACTTTCCGTTGCGCTGCAGTACTTTCAACAGAACATCGTTGGATTGAACCACTTGGTAAATGCAAGTGCGTGCGCACGTTCATCTCCCGTGCATGTAGCGAATAAAGTAAATTACTGTTTATGTTTTTATACGTTCATCCAGGACACATGAAGTAATTTTTCTTAGCACGAAGGTTTGTCTCATTACGCTATAAAACAGGAGGTTTAACTTACATGTCTGTGCATAGATTATCCATTTCGATAATGTCGAGCAGTGTTCTAGCGCTGTAAACCATTTCCCCACTGATTACCTTTTTGACCACTTGAATGCAGCCTACACTTTTTTATTATTAATAATATTTTTCTGCTATGCCCTATTAGTATGGTTAGATAGTGCTAACAACTATTCAGGCAAATATACCGACCTATTTGCTTTTGTAGTTGTACACAGCTGCACCCTCCAAATGTATACTAATGTCCACGACAATACGAACAACAATATTTTTTTTACGTTTTCTCACCCTCGTTAATCAGAATGAAAAAGAACTGTTTTGTTGTGCGCACTTATTTAAGCACCTTAAAATGTGTTTAAATATTCCCAAGAGAAGCACAGGTATATATAGCATGAAAGTTACTCACTTAACAGACGTACTGTGCCATTCACATCTCTGGATTTCTTTAACCTTACGGCGTTCTATGCGATAACAGGAAACTAATACCTTGGTGCATAAACGTATAATTTGTTCCGAATAAGACCCGTAGAAGTAAAGAGATATTTGGAATGAAATAAAAGTGCCGAACACACTTCGAAACTCGCGCGAATCATGAAAGCCGTGAGGTGAGCTCTCGTTACAGCGAAATCGCTCGCGAAAGCTATACCAGTTAACTGCGTTTATTTCTCTGGTTCGAGAATGTTAAGATGGTAAAGCAAAACTCGTATCGAAGTGTCGCGTATCAAGTCTATATTTTATATCTCGGCGACGGCCAACTCGCGTCTCTTTTCTCGAATGCCACGAAATTCGTTATTACGAAGTTTCGCGAGGCCAAGCGACCAAGAAAGAGATGGCACCACCGTGTACTTACGGCTGGCAACATCCTGGCAGCGGTGATTCCGACCCGGCGTTTCACAAACACGGTCAAAAGGTCCGACTTCAAGCGAGTAGTCCACTCTAATAGTCCGGCAAGGGAGCAGCGAGTCGTCGACGAGAGAACGTCCGTGGGCACCGGATTAGGTAGCCCGGGGTGAGACACAAGGGAAGATACCGCGGCGCTGGACGCGAAAAAGCCTCGCAGTACGGCACAAGGTCGATGTCGTACGTCCGATCACTGCAGCGCGCGTTGGGGCAATAACCGATTCGGCGGCGGTCCTTCGCCGTGTGGGCGGTGGGCGTGGGTGGCGCACCGTCGGCGTCTTGTGCGAAGAGACGACGACGTTGTGGCTGTTCGTCGTTGCAGGTCGTCGCGCGCCGCATCCACGGGGATCAATGCCAAGCCAAGCAACTATTTCACCCTGAACTTGTTCTAGATTTTATACGGCGGGCGGGCTCGACCAGAGAGGGGGACTCGCTATGACCTTGTTTCCTTGTCTGCCGGAGCCTCCCCCTCGCCACACCCTTCTCGCCACACCGTCGTGCGCCCGACTCGTGTTTTGGGATGCCGGCTCAGAGTGGCAGCCGGGGGAAGCAAGAAATATTTCTAATAATAAACAAAGATTTGGGTGCGAAGAAAATGCGGTGCTGGGCCACGGGTTAAGCCATGTCGTCGTCTCTGCAACGACGTTGACGGAAGGCGCTCCCCGCTGTCTCGCCGGTAACAGTTCGCTTAAACTCTCGTTCCGGGACGTGTGTCGAGCGCGGTGTCGACGGATATCACCGTGCCGTATTGAAATCGCACGCCGGAACAGAGTAAACGCAAAACTAAAGCGGGGGTCCATGATCGAAATTTCATGCACGTTCTTTTTGCTTTTTATTTATTTTATTTTATTTATTTACATACCCTAAGAACGCGGGATTTTTCCTTGCGGTGATACTGTGCATTCCAACCATGAGCGAAGATGACGCGCCTGATGAACAGAACTTGCCTTCAGCTCCTCCAGATAGAAGTCGCCTGAGTGATAGGCAATCTCAGTTACGGGAGGGTCGTCGTATATGTTTGTGTGGGTATTTGTTGACTGCCGACATCACATGTAACGGTATTTTGAAAGCGGGAGAGGAGCGGGAGAGGGAACAGAAGGAAGCGATCGTTCTAACGAAGTCGTGTGCTCGTGTGACCAAAGCTGTTGGAAACGTCTAAATATTTGCCATATAAAGCTATTAAATTGCTGCTAAATGTTCGTGTGCGTTAGTTTACTTGATGTGCTATATTGAGCTGAAGTAGACAGCACTATTCTTGAAACAACTTATCATCATTTTAAAAACGCGACGTTTCATTTTTGCCAGCTCCTTTAAACACTGCTAAATCAGAACCAAGCCTTAAGATATTCTATACACACACACACACACACACACACACACACACACACACACACATATATATATATATATATATATATATATATATATATATATATATATATATATATATATATATATATATATATATATATATATATATATATACTTGCCACCCACTGCTCTAGAGCAGATGATGATGACGTGAAAAACGGGGCAATGTTTTCAAGCCTCTCGTAAAAAAGGCGCATGTTTCGCTAAGAGCTTTTTCGTTGTAATGCATCGTCCTTCGATACTTCGCTTCGGAGCCCTTCACTAAAGGTATTGAAGGACCCTGCCATGGTCCTTGAATACTTTTCTTTTTTTGCAATGCTAATACGCTGTATGCCATTCGGGGTCCTGGCTACATTCAACGACTGCTTTCAAAGGTCACGAAATAGAGGGCGTTCCCCGGGATGCGCTCCAATGCTGGCGTGTGGGACTTCGTGAAGAACGTCGAAACCGTGAACTCCGTGGAAGTGTCTTCGCATTCAGCAACATTTAAAAGACATAACTACCAGGCTGCTGCAGACGTCCACGTGTGCGAGTTGCGAATGTGCCTCATTTGCGATGATCTTTTTGTGGAAATTTTCGCAGCAAGCTGCGCAATGTGTCCCTATTTGAAGACGATTAAAAGTGGCCTACCTTTTGTGCAGTCAAATCTGGTTGGGAAAAAAAAGCAGTAGCCGTCTACGTGGTGCATGTGTACACATTTAATGACAGTGAGTCAGACACTGCGCAATTAATTATGTCATGTAGCACGTAAAACCTCACCTGTTAATGATATTAAGCACTTCGAAATTTTCATATCTAATGTTTTACGCGAAAGATGGCAAGATCTTCAATTCGTTGTCTTCTGTAACGTGTAATCGTGTATGAGTGGTTTACTTTTCTGTTCTTGAAATAAGGAATATGAGTTATTGTTAGCGCTGACATTTCAGATTTTCCAAATGTTTTATTATTTCTGGATAGAATGGGGAAAGAAAATGTCTGTTTTCCCTGCCCCTCGCAATTTCCTGACAGGAGTTCTCCGCGTAGCAATGAACACTGAAAGAAGAACTGGCCACGTGTTGTCCATGCTACTGCGAGACGTTTCGTAGACGATTATGGGCTCCTGCCGCGCTTTTAAATAGAGTAAGCTGGGATAATCTGCGTCGGGAACACAACGTCTCTGAAGGTCTTTTGCTGGATATCTCACTGGGTAATGTGTGTTTTCTTTCTTTAGTTAGCTTCTACCACCCACTCTGAGTATACTGTTTGGTTTCTCCTCACGAGTGACAAGATAGTATGAACTTTACTGATTGACAGTGTGCTTGGAAGAACGCAAGACGGACAAGACTGAAAGAAAAAAATAAACAAAAAATGGGGCACCCTTCAGCTTCACCTTTAAGAGTTGAACGTGATAGCGATATCCTGTCCCTGCAGCGTACTTCAAACACTGCATGGGTGCATGAAATATTTTCGAACTTGCTAGGCACTCACTACGTGGCTCAAGAGAATAGGCAAAGTAACATGTGTGCCTCTTGTAGTGAGTGACCAGCTTTAGACCATGACGTCATTATGATAATCGCATGCTCTGACGCCCGATGGCGGTGTACACTTGTGCCAGGCATTATTACTGCAGCGCTTCATGTTGCATTGTGAAGCATCTATACAGGACGCATGTGCTTGTAAAGCATGGAAGTTACTTTCACACGAAGAGGAAGATATTTTCGCTGTGTTCACAAGCAGACGCATGGCTGTGTGGTAGAACACCCGCTTAACGTGCAAAAGACTCACTCGGACCCAGAATTATTCGTTATTTATTTTATTAACATCTTTCTCGAGTTTTCGGTCACGCACAAGATGATGATTTTTAGCTGACAACCAACGATGCCGACACCATGCTTTTAATGCTATCGTGTTAAAACTTACAGGGATCCTTATTCAGTCGTACGAATCTACAGCGAAAGACATCTTATTCACTTGTTCTTCAAATCGATGTATTGATCCTCGCCGGCCCCCATCCGAAGGCTTCCTGTCATTAACATAATTTTGTGTTCCCTCCATGATCAGAGGCATTGCGCGATTTCAGCACACCAGCTTTTCATGCATGTGTGGTAAAAAGAAAAATAGTTAACTTTGTAGAACTGTGGTGAAACAAACTTCAAACCTGGTTTCCCGCTGCCTCCGCGATCTTTCCATGAAACTTTGCTCAAGCGCCGATGACATGTAATGACGTCATTACGTGACGTCATAGTTACCTCCCGAATTCTCGCAATCTTTGACCTCATGATAACGTAACTTGTTGACGTCATTCTGTGGTGAAGATTTTTTTTTTTTTTTTTTGCTCGCGTTGACGTTGCCCGCGCCGGTGGTCAAGTTTGGCATGTGGTGAGGCGCCTAAAGCTTTCGCTTGAAAAGAAAAATGCAAGGTCCACTTCCCAAGACATCGACATCATGTCACCACGTTGTTGCTTTCATGATGAACCCGGTGAGAGCCAAAGAGGTTCAATTTAAGTTGACGCGCAAAGGCGTGTAGCCAGGGAGTGGCACATTGGGCACCTGGTGACGCATAGCACAAGCAGCCAATCGAGACCCTCTGCTTTGTACAATGCATTGCAAATTCCGTTTCAGACATGCCGAGGATCATTTTGAAGGCCCTGTCGCAAAGCAAAAGACGACTTGTAGCAAACAAAGTGTCCCTGTTACTGTACTCGCGTTTTTTTCGTAATTCCTCGACGTGCAGGTTTTCATTACGTGTGTGTCCCCCCCCCCCCTTTTTTTTTTTTTTTTACTAATGTGAATAGCGTGGCCTTCTCATTTCGACACTTTGGTGACTCGCGCAAGCTTCTACGCTCCGTAGCACTGCACGCTACTAGCGAGAGTTGCACAATTGACTTCCCGATTTCACGCTTCCAGGTGTTTTGTATAACGTCGTCCCGTTTGTCGTCCGGCGTCGCGAAAGCGCGCCGTCATTCACGCCCTGTTCAAAAGGCAGTGGCGAACCGCGCCTATCGTACGCGTCTTTTGTGACTTCGGGAACATGACGGAAGCCACCGCTTGAAGACGACGACGACGCCTCTGTCTGTGTTTCCGCGAAGCGAACAAGGCGCGCGTGTTTTTGCAAAGCACGAAATTCGACGCGCCTCTAAAAGCAAGAACTACGAGTTGCGGCACCTGTTGCCGCAACACCGACGGCATCGAGCATCGCTTGTTCGAGTGACGTTTGTAGACGTTGTGAAAGAGGCGTCGCCACTGAGGAAACGACTCGTTCGCACTGCGAAAGCCAGCGATAGCGCAACAATGAAGTTTTTTGCGCTACGTTAATCGAAGGCTTGGCGCATTTGCGCTTTTCGCAACGGTGATGACCTCTGAATTCGCTTTTTATTGAAATGGGAGACTGAAAAATGAATATAACAAACTTCAGCGAAGCTTTTCTCTCGTGAGGCCTTTGAGCGTTCAAGGCAGACGAGGCGCAAGTATTTTCACTTGGTTTTGTCCTGTGCAGCGTGTTACTGCTCATGGTATCTTTCATGCGTTTGTTTGTTTGTTTGTTTGTTTTCTGCGTAACAAGGTATTGTAATAGTTTTAATGAAAAATACGTAAGCAAGGGTTGTAGTGTGGTGTTAATTACAGTGTGCCTAACTTCTCTCCCTACCTGTCTCCCCCTTAAATGGCGACCGTTGGTCCCCCTTTTCAAATTACTTATCTAGCACACGATTTTTTTGTTTTGTAAGCAAGACAGGCGTAATTTTTTTTTACTACGGCTCTTGAACAAACCCGAAATTCGGCAGGTGGGCGGAGGGGGGGGGGGGGGGGGGTGGATTGTAACAAGAAACATCCTTTACTTTCGCAGGTTTCGCTGCCACTTCTTTATATCCACAGAAAGTTCCTCTTCTCCCTGCACACAAGGGCGACAGGTGCAGGAGTAACCAGGGCACCACGACATTAGCCAGCCACTTTAATCATAAGCCTTGATCGTCTATACTTGCATTACTCGAAAATACAAC